GTGGGAGCAAGGGTGCTCATGGATGTTGCAGTAAGGTAAAATGAATAAATTTAAGCTTAGTCCATTCCAGATCATGCCTGTTTCATTCTGAAAAAGTTTCTGCTCATCTTTTCAGACTCCCTCTTAGATTATCAAGTCTGAGAGGCAGTATGGGCAGCCCAGCAGAGACAAGGGCACGCACAAGGGAAGGCAAGGGGTGTGCACATGCTTGGCTCCTTGCTGTTTCCTTACCAGCCACGTTTTCCATCTGGGACAGTGCCTGACCAACAGCACAGCTCTTCTAGCAGAGCCTATGTGCTGCAGTCTTCATCTTGCTCTCAGTCTCCTCCAACCAAGACAAAAGCTAACAAAGAGCAGCCTATTTGCACCTATACCAAGGCTTTTAATTGCATAATTATGCAAATGGTGACAGGTGATTTTTTTTTTTTTCTCTCTCTCTCACTGACAGTGCTTTGTAGTTCACCAGGCTGATGTGGAGATGCTGAGGTTCTTTGGAAAAGGATCTTAGTGTGGGATGTCTGTGGAGGCCTAGAGCAAATGGTGGCTATAATAATAATCATCTTCTTTCATATTTTTTCTTTGCCTGCAGTTTCTGTTTATTGCTGCTTTGGCAGCTGAGTCATTACCATTTAGCCCCAGCAAGGGAAGAAAAAAGAATATCAGAAACATATTACTGGTAGCTTGGTAATAGCAGCTGTAAAAATGTATGGCAGGATCTGAGGGCTGAAGGTTGTGTGCAGCATGCCTGTGCTAAAACAATAATCAACTTTCCAAGCTCAGTTAGGTCCTTTTTACGGAGTGCAAATTACATGATACATAGGAGAGACAGGAAACAGGTTTCACCTTGAATATTCTCAATATGGCATAAGCAGGCAAAAATAGCCTCTGCTCTCTACTTGCAAGGAGTGAGGGAAATGCACTCTCAGCCTGGCTCTTGTAAGAAAGTCCCCTCCATTACTCCACTTTTGGAAGGAATTACCACAAATGGCTATGGGAAGCAGTCCTTCTCAATGACATTTTCTTTAGAGCTTTTCAGATTAGGTGGTTTTTCTGCATGAAACCGCAGCTCCCTTCTGCAGAGATAATTTTGCTACCTTTCTTTCCATCCCCACTCCTGGAGAGAGCAGTGCGGTAAAATTAGCCTTGACAGAGAAAGGCTCTTAAGGAATTTGGATAGGTCAGCAGAAGTGCAAAGCCAGGATGCATACAGCAGCAGGACATGAATTCTGCAAGGATAAACTGAGATTTGCAGCATTACCCTCTGCTTTTGCTAATACCTGGTCTCCATTTTATTTTTTCAGCAGCGATATTCTGCCTTGAAGTCATTTGCATTTTTTAATAGATGTACAGGGTAAAAGCAAAGTGTTCTTTTCAATGGGACTTTCTCTAAGGCTAGTATATATGCTTCTACTTCTGCAAAATCTGAACTAGAAGAAGTAAATAAAATGCAGAGTTTTAAAACTAAAGCTTCTGGTGAACAACAGATTTGTACTACTTTCCATTTTACCCAAAGTTTTTCTTTTGGGCAAGAAAAATTGTAACACCTTCTGAATCAATACATTGCATAATGTAGACAATCTCACATGCTGGAACTTGGGACACCAAACTGCTACTTACTGATAGGCTCATATGCCCTAGGCTCTAAGGATGACTGAGGCTGGAAGGGATCTCTACAAGTGACCTGATGCTCAAGCAGGACCACCAGGGAATGGTTTCCTGGGACTGTGTCCAGATGGCTTTTGAGTATCTCCAAGGATGGAAACTCCAAAACCAAATGGCTAAATATGTTCTAGTTAGAAGAAGATACCCAAGTCCACAGGACATACTAAGAGACTTCTCTTCTAAAGGCCTTGAACCTATTTTGCATGTTTGCAAATGAAGCCATTACTGTTACTGATCACAGAAATCTTGTCCTTGGGATACTCTGATATCCTTTTTGGATCTTATTTTTGAAAAGAAGAAAAGAAAGGAAAAGGAAAAGGAAAAAAGGAAAAGAGAAAAGGAAAAGAGAAAAGAAAAGAAAAGAAAAGAAAAGAAAAGAAAAGAAAAGAAAAGAAAAGAAAAGAAAAGAAAAGAAAAGAAAAGAAAAGAAAAGAAAAGAAAAGAAAAGAAAAGAAAAGAAAAGAAAAGAAAAGAAAAGAAAAGAAAAGAAGAGGGAGCTGGGAAAGAAAAAGGAATTCTGTCTAAATAAGGAAAACAAGCATATTCTTCTGGTAGAAATTAATAAAATTGAAGGATTTCTAAAGGCACAGCAGGACCACAGAGAGAAACAGCTATATATACAAACATTCCATTTTGTATACTAATATGCTTTAGCATCCAGGAAACTTGATCAGTACTTTTCATACTTTAAATAAAATTCCTATCCCTAATATGTGAAATCTCTGTGGAGGCATCCTTGCTTACACAGTTTTAGTGACTAGAGATACATAAAGGTGATTTCCCAAATAGTTTGAAAAACCACTACTTAAATTTAGGGCTCAGTTCAATAAGGATTTATGCTGTGTAGGGTTTCTATGGAATTCAGTCATAAAAAGTCCAGACTGTACTAAAAATGAATTTGTTCCATGTTTTTGGTACTCAATGAAGCCTCCTTTCCTCATGCACAAATAGCTAACACTATGCCCTGAAAGGCAGGCATGTCAAAAAGGAGGAAAAGCATATTCTGAGCTCCAAAAACTATAGCACAGTAGATCCATTAAAAATGGAACTTTTCTCAGAGTTTGTAAGATATTAGAGCTGCCCACAGGCAGCATTAATTTGTATTCTGGTCAATTTTATGGTCAATATATGCAGCTATTTATCACACTTGTTAAAATAAATACTTACAACATTCATCTGGGCTACATATGGTACCCATGTACTATCTAGAGGCAAAACATGCTCAAGAAGAAATCAGTAAGTTTTGCAACACGTATTTTGATGTTTTATAATGCCTTGCCATGCAAATATTTGAGGTGTTAATAACATTATAAGTTATAAATTTTTTTCCTGAGGCTTAATTTTTACTCAGACCACCTTAATTTCTCAAAAGAGCTTATTAAAAACTAGAAAAAAGCTGAAGAAGTCCACTTAATAAAATACTGAAGCTGAAGACAGTGAAGGCACCAAGACATAAGGGATTTGTCTAATGCATTGGTTTAATTTCTGTCATCAAACCCAAAGTTCTCCACTCACTGCAGCTCTTAGCAGGAATAATTTCTAACCTGTACTTGGAGGTAACTTGTCTTCCTCGGAACTGATACTGTCCCATACATTTACTTTGTGCTGCCCACATTCTGCTGCTTGGGTGCAGACCACAAATACATATATTTGTTTGAATTGCAGCCCTTAGCCATGAGAAAAATCTTTTAATCACAAGTATTTTTGTCTATTGAATTGGATCCTTGTCTTCCCAGGAATAGGAATGCTAAAAAAAAAAAAAAAAAAAAGGAAAAAGCCACTACTGACTCTTTCATTTAAAAAAAAAGTTCTTTTTTTTGAGACAGATAATAATGTTGTTTTGCATTTCATACCAGTGTCAACTAACAGGGACATCAGATTGACAGTGGCAAGTATCCAATACTGCAAGCAACTGTGCTTGTAAAAAATATTTAATAGGCAACTTCTGAAAAGGACACTTTAAATTACAGGTGAGACTTTATTTTTGGGGCTATTTTTAAACACAATTTCTGTTTTAAAAACATCTGTTGGAAGCAAAATAACAAAAGTGATTTATACACAGATCTTTTTTTTTCCCCCCTTATGGCTGTATGTTTTCTCTGTTACATAACTAAAGACTGTTAGTACTAATAAAGGAGCTGAATGCCATTTCTTAAGTATTCATGTGACAGACTGCATGCTTAAATCAGGTTTAGCTCCTTGAGGTGTAGTTTTTTTGGGTTTTTTTTTTCATAAAATATATGACTTAAGGACCTCTGCTAGCCAGTTTCTTCTGTATTTGTTTATATATATTTTAATGGTAGAAAAAAACCCATAAAAAAGTAAAATACTTGACAAAATACCTGAATCATAAAGCCTGTCACAGGCTGTTAAAACTTCTTACATACAAATGTATGCATACAAGGCACTTTGCAAAATGTGCCTTGCAAAGCAGCTATCACAACAAGAAACTGATTTTTGTTTTCAGAAGGCTCACCAGATAGTTATTTTAAAAAAAGAGGCAAAATAATAACTCACTTAAATTAATCCAACCCTCATTTTGTTATCTATGATTACATGCCCAAATATTGGTGTGTGTACAACTTTCTTCTCTCTGTGAAATTATTTGAAAGAACTGGTTTACAACTCTAAAAAAAAAAAAGAAAAGAAAAAAGAAAGAAAAAAGAAAAAGAAAAAGCCCAGCATTTATTATTTTGCCAACAAACCTTTGCAGGCATTAGATCTGCTTTAGCAAAATGAGATATTGCTATAAATCTTCACCTCAGAAAGCTTTCTGTAACCATGTGTCAGGAAATCTGTATTAGCCTGGAGTAAGCATCACTCCATGTACAACTTTTTTCTTACCATGAAATTATAAAATTTCAGTTTTAATGATGATATGGACTCATTTCATTAGAAGTTGAAAAGATGTGGAGAACACTCATAGTGCTCTTCAGCTAACACATTTCAGGGTAAGGCATTAAACGTCTGAGTTACGGTGATGGGTTGCCCCAGTCCTGGCAAGCTGCATATCCAAATCCTTCCACATCAGAGTTTCTAGACATTTGCCATTGCTGGCAGGAACAAGGATGGTTTTAATTCATGCAGTGGGAGAGGAATGGGCTCCTCAGCACCACAGGCCCTCCTCCATCAACACAACCCCTAGCTCCAACAGCTGAAAGCCCACTGTCCTTAATCCTCATGGAGTTCCCAACCCAACAAAAAATTAGTGTAGATGGCTTCTTTTTTCTACAGTGATATCAAACATTTATAGTGAGACATATAAGAATATATATTTATATAAATATATAAAATATTTATATAAAATATATAAATAAATACATATACAAAATATGGCATTATTTTTCCAGAGAGATGATACATTTCACAGGCCACCTTTCCTTATCGAGATTTCACTGTCATACAGAATTTTTCACAAAGTACATTAAATAATCAGCCTCAAAAAAAAAATAAAAAATTTGCCAAAGCCTTCCTTATGTGAAAGCATCACATACCACAACAAAACCAAATCACTTCTCTTCCAATTAAAAAGACATGTAACACTATGGCAGACAGTGAGTTTAACTATTTAAACCAAATGGCTCTTTTTCTATGCTTAGATGCAGGCAAATAATTCCACCATAGTCAAAGAAAGCAACAGTTGTGTGCCGCATAAATGAAATGCGTGGGTCTCAACACCCCATCTTGTCAACGTTGTTTTCAACAGGAGTTCCTCATACAGAGTAAGTGCTTTGGCAGAAGGTACCAAGACAACACAGAATAGATACACCTTTTCAAAATAAATAAGCAAATGCAAAGAGTAGTACTGTAACAGCAATTTTTTCTCCATGAATATTCTGTATGAGTGTAAGCAGTAAATGGAGGAAATGTAAGCCCTGTTGCACAAACTGAAGCAACGTACAGACAGAAGAAAGCTTTACCAAGAGCTTCAGTGCGATTGTTATCCTTTCCAGTGGCATAATTCAGTGATGGGTACATTAGAATTATCAATAAAATAATTAAGAAAAATATTATCTTGGTATTTGTAGTTATATCAAATAATAAAACTCAATCCCTTCTGGAAACATTTCCTTTGCTTCAAAAATTCATTTCTTTTACCTAGAACAGGTCAGTGTGTATGCATACAGATTTATACATATTTGCAAATCATCCCATAACCTTACTTTACTTTCTCTTTGCATACAGATGTATACACTAGAGTTACTGTGTAATATTTGGTATTCACATGTTACATTTAAATAAAGTTTATTAAAAAACAATTATATTAAATACAGACTAACAGAATATTCATAATATATTTTACAGAAAAAAATAGCCATGTCTTTATTTTAGAAATACATTTCTTTAAAAAGTTCTTTGAGATTTTTATAAAACTTTTTACCCGTGAAGACAAGTTTCCCATCAGACCTGTAAAAAAACTTAACCTTTAAATCATTGTGGGTTTTTTGGTTTTGTTTTTCTTTTTAATACTTTTACAATCTTAACGTCTACAAAATCTTTAAAAAACCCGGTATCTTTTGGGATCAAATTGGTCACAGGCCATTCTTTAAAAAGTCAGTGGAGACTCCCTGATTCCATTCTGAAGTGCCTTTTGAAGTTTTTCTCTCTCTGGGTATCAATAGTGCAGGTTTACATGAGAATTCAGAGCTCCCTACACATCCCATAGGAAGCTCCATGTGTGTCAGTGGCAGGGTGCAGCTGCAGCAGCATCCACAGAGGCTGCAACTCCCCATGTGCTGCAGGAGGCAGAGCTTGTTACTCCACACACAGTGCAGTCCCACAGTGTTTGCCCAGCCCCTCCAAGGTCTCTGTGAGGTCCAGTGGCCGTGCACAGATGCCAGAAGAGCTGGCACCCAGTCCTCATTTGCTTTCCAAGTTATAGCAGTGGACATCTCCTTTTCCCTTCCCATCATACCCAGGAAGTGGCTGTCCATATTTATCCACGCACCAGCAATAACCTCTTTTTCGGCCTTTGGATGGGCGACACTGAAACATAATAGAAGACCCAGTTAGCATGAATTTTGTTTTCTCTGCTTGTAGTATTAGACAGCAGGGATTCCTGCTCCTCTGATAGATGCATTTCAATATCCTGACAATATCTGAGAGAATCAAACAGAATATTTGTTACCACTACGAAGTATTTTAATAAAAACCTTCTCTCCCCATCAATCCCTCTGCAGCCTAACTACTCTGTAATAAAACTGCACTGAGAACTACCAGGAAAAAGGCTTAGGAAGTGCTCCATATCATACTGGGCAACACAGCTGCCCCCTTTGAATACCATGCAACAGTATGGGCTAGTGACTGGGACCTATCTTTAGAAAAAAAATTTAGTAGATATGTTCTACACTAAAGAACAGGTCTGGCAAAGACAACCATTGCACCAAGACACACACTTGGTTTGCATCTGTTTACTGCAGGAAATCAACAGTGTAGCTGACACTTATTAACAGATACATACTCCTTCTGTAGTGTAGCTATTGCAAAAGCTTCTAGGTGAATTAGAACTATACATGTATATTTTTCTATTAAAAAGTTGGTGTATGTACTAGTCTGTAACATGACCACTTTATGTTAACTGCTTGAATTCACCAACAATGCTGACCAATCTGAAACTATCACAGGCAATAACAATGAACCTTTTTAGAAGCAGTAATGCAGTAAATATGCATTATAAAGTCTAGTACATACTAAGTAAGCAATGCTCCTCCTCCCAAGGAACCAAGAACGGCAAAAACTAGACTAAAGGAGATAACATGCTGCAGACTGCATTCAGTATGCAACCCTAGATGCAATTACGTTACCACGAACCTCTGTGACCTTGCAAGGGTTTCACCCATTCATAAGACATATCCAGAATCTCGCTGGGTTTGATGGTCAGCCTCACTGTCTGCTCATGCTTTGAGATTTGGTGATGCAGGATTTGCTTCAAATGCAAACAAGGGTGGCTGTTTGCTCAGGACATACTGACGAAAGAGGCAACGAGACAAGCACACACAGTTTCCTGCGGTTTTGTCTGTTGCATTGCCAGTATGAAGGAAGATTGGCTAGACTGGTCCCTCAACACTGTCCAGTCTATCATTCAAGCAGAGCAATTGTTGCCCTCTGAGATCACATTCAGAGTAATTCAGGTTTTCAGAGGTTCAGGCTGGTACAATCTGGTAAACTTCACCACTATCCCTGTACTTCTTGTTCTCCAGAGTCTCATAGGCATGGCTCAATGTCTCAGGAGGCCAGTGGCTCACATATGTGCCTTTCCCATTTGCAGGTACACAAGAAAACATGAAGCAAGTGTTGGGCTTCACATGCTGTTCAAAGTGACTGACCCTTTCCATGTCTAGTTTAGTATCTCAGGTGACTGTGCTATCTTGGACAGAACTAGGAATACAGATCACTTTCAGACAGCCTGCACCAGCACACTGGCCCATGAGCCAACTAATTTGTAGCACAGAGTAGTCCTCACTAAGACCTTGTGAAAAGAGAGATGGAAGCCAGTCACACATTAGGTACAAATTGTTCAAACAAGTCAACATCTTGTTTATTTTATTTTACCATTACTTAAGTAATGTTATTCAGCATAACTGCAAATTAATCCACCCTTCTGATATATTATTGAGTAAAATGTCCAATGCAGAAATAATGCAATGCCTTCTCTACTACGAATCTGCAAATTTGCTTCGGCATTAGCCCTATGAAAATGAACAGTAGTAGGATGACAAGATCCAGCTAAACGTACATATCAGCTTAGTTTTAGAAGAGGATAAAGAAGTTCAAACCTACTGGGAGAACAGCTACATTCACTGAACTAAATGGTTACCTGCACTTCAGTTCTTATCTGTTACTAAATCTTTAAACGTAAGTCCTACAACTTATATTTATTGTCTCAAAAGCCTGACTAGAACTTAGATGTATTCCCCAGGATGACCATGGGTGTCTGCTCAACGTCCACTGATGTCAAGGAAAATTTTTCTTCAGTGCTGACAGTGAATGGACTGAACTCTAGCTTGAGTATTATTAACATTTAATGATTTAAATTTTTCATGTTCAAAACAGAGGAATTAATAAACAGCAGCCTTTGCACAATTTAATTTTACAAAAAGGAAACTGAACCAGCACTTCTAGAGTTGTTTTCCCAACAAAGTAGGCACAGATGGAGCCCAAAGAGCATAGGGCTTCTGGCTGCCAGCCTGTTGCTCTGGCAAAGAAACTACATTTCTGCTAATAATAGTAACATAGCCTCCCCTTTTAGAAGTACTATATGAAGTATGTTACACAACTCTCGCTGATTCATAGGCTTGCTTCACTCTCAAAACAAATGATCAATTAAAGTTCTCATGTTGTTGGAACCTTTGATTGCTTTTAACAGCTGCACAATCAATTTTCAGAATTAATTACTACATGAAGGTAATCTGCAGAAACCTGCAGAAATCTGCCTTTCCTACTATTTTTCTTACTTCTTCTAGACAATCCATTTGAAAAGCAAAACTCTTATATCATTCAATAGCTGAACTAACACTATGAGAAAACTATCTTTTCCAAGTAATTTTTTTCTACCCACTCAGCCATGCTGTCAATAGTAAAGCACTTCAGATTAAAAAGAGATGCTTTTATCCTGAAACAGACAACAATCCCTACAGGAGTGGTAGACAGGTCATATGGAAAAACATATATATAAATATTTGTATGAATTCTGTATTCCACACACATTTCTAAGCTCTATTCAGCTATTCATGAAGTACGACTTCATAAGTTTAAAAAGTTGGAAAACTGCCCAAGCAGTGGAGACAGTAATTACTTCTGATAGAAACACCAGCTGCCATCTTCCATGCCACCTGCCCCTCTCCCTTCCACAAAGAAATGCCACAGAGGCATTTATGGGGCACAGCAGAGCATATGGTATCCCACTGAATTCCTGGTCAGTCCAGAGGGCTCCATGGAGCTACAACCATGGTCTTCAGGAACAGACTGCAGACAACCTTGACATATACCTCAGGCCGTTTTGGCTCCTGGCAAGCACAGCTCTGTTTTCAGTGGAACGATGCCAGCTCACATTTGGGTTAGTATCTGGCTCCAGTATACAAACATGGGGCAATTCTAGTAATTGCCTCATATAATAATTCTAATTTCATCAAAACCTTTCTTCCCAATGCTTGAGGTAGAAATGTGCCTGTATCAACTAATTATGCAAAAATATACCAATATAGCACAGTTGAATAGTACAACCTTACATGTGTGATTAAGACAAAGAATCATAAATTTTAATAGGTCTGATTTTAAAGTTTATGTATAAACAAAAGGTGTGAAATATTTTTCATGTTATACCCTGACATATAAATTTATGTTCTTAGAAGTGTTTCACATATGCAGATTATTCTCCATGGTTATTCCTGAAAAGTCAATTTCTAGATATCCATGGAAAGTAAGTGCTTTCAACTTGACTGGAAGACCAGATGACCAGGAAGGCAGAATATGCGAGAAATAGTGAGTGCCTCCTAAAAGAGTTTTAATGGTGCCAGCGTGATCATAATTTATCAGACTCCTACTATCCCAAAACTACTACATTCTCATCCTAGACCGTGGTTTTGACAACTGTTTCTAGAATTCAAAATACCTAGCTTGCATTCATTTTTTCATGGCTTTACTGTCTACTTCCTAACCTATTATTCTGAATTTTGTGACAATAGAATATAATTCAATTACAGACTGAACACGGCTAATAATGGCATGAAGGGGAGTTAATTCTATGAGGGCAACTATTATTTTTGGTTTGTATTTTGTTGGTGAGAGAAGCAGGATGCGTCTCCAAGTCCCTTCTCTGAGGGATTGTTCCCAGGGCTGATCAAGGCTCATTTACAGAATCAGCAACCCAAGCGAATTTCATGTAGAATGTTTACTCATGTGGGCTCCATCTGTGGGCATCTCCTGCAAGACCCTGAGTCATCTCAAACCACCATTGTGATTACTGGAACCTGTGTAAATTGGCACAGCGCTTGACAAGGCTGGTTAGGTATGAAAAGTGTCCCTTCATTTTCTATATGTGCTGACCGGATGGGCTATTGCACATAGTGCAAGAACCTTTCCTAAAGAAGTTTTAAGAGTTTCCAGGCAGCACAGACAACACACAGAGGACAAAAGTCTCTATTTGCTTTGTACCAACACCTTATTCTCGTAAATCAGCTTCTAGGAACAAATACTAGGTAAGACTATTATCTGTCTTCCGTATTTTTTTTTCTTTCTATTTCCTTTTCTTTGCCTTGGTGATAGAACTATGACTGTATTTTAAAGTGCAGTCCTCCTTTCAAGTAAGCCACTTCAATACGTGCTTAGTGAGGATCTGATTTACTACCCACAATGCCAGAGATTACTTGCAAACCACCACATTTTTGCAGACAAAGCAAAAACCTCAGAGTCTAGAGAAAGATGAAAGGAAGATCTACTGAACAAAGTAAATACCCGTCTGCAGTCTTCTATAATACATACAGAAGGAAAAGGGCTACGGCACACTTGAGTGCCTTGAACACAGTCAAATGATGTGCTGTTCTAGAACAGCTAAGAAAATACTTTTATGACAGAGGCACAAAACATAGTCCTGGTCTCACTCTGCATAGCAGTCCAATGCATTTTCTGAAAACAAGCAGACAGAGATGTGAGCATTGCTCTCTGTTAGTGTTAGAAGCACAACAATCCTGACATAGGTTTCTCAAAGCTCCAGGCAACTGGAGAAGAAAGAAACTTCCCCTGCTTGGGAGTTGCCACCATCTGCTCAGAAAAAGCTGGGAAGCATAGAAAAGCTCAGCAGCATGTACCAAAGGTCAAACAGCACTGTCAATGCTGGACTGATGGCAGAAAGGAAGGCTGGAAATCTCGCCCCTGTTATAAATGCCCCCATCTGACACTGACAGCTTATTGCAGAGCTCCAGGGAATACTAGAAAGGGAAAGACTGTTTCTAAGAAAGCTGAAAGCCAAAAAATGGAGAGGTACCATTCCTAAAATAAGGTTGCCTAGTCAGAGCCAATTGACTGCTCACTTCCAACCTATGAACTGCATTAGCTAGCAACAGAGTCAGCCACTCCTTCGGTTACCAGAGACAGAGAGGTTGATTTGTGTAAACCCAAAGGGAAAGACATGATGGTCCACAAACAAAATCTGTCCTTGGGAGAAGTCTTAGAGAGACCTTTGAATTCAGGAAATTTTGAAATTATACCAAGAAATGCATGTTTGGAGGCAGGCCACTAACTAAACTTGGATGGGATGTGCACACTAAACAAAGAACCTGACACATCTTGTACTTCCCCAAGTTCTTAACGAGCTTCAATGGCAGCACTGAATGGAGAATACTGCTGTAGCTCAATCCAACACAACTAAAGCATAAATACCCACAGTTTTGGTCAGCATTTGTCAAGAAAGGTCAAAACCTCACAACCAGGAAGGGCTGGGAAACCATCCTTGCTTCAGACTAACTACTAGAAGTATCACTTTCATGATAACATGACTTGGATTTTGGAAGTGATCTGTGTAGCACATAAAGGACAGATACATACCTTTCTCAAGTTGCTTTATGTAATATGATCCAGTGTAGTTCTTCTAGGAACTCTCAAGCAGCTATTTACAATTCAAAGCATTGATCTATTGCAGTCATATGGTGACTCCAACATTAGCTCTGTGGGTTATTGTAGAGGCACTGCTTATTTTAAACCAAAGGGCATTAGTATCTAGGACACCAGTCAACCCATGTGTGATTAGGTATGAAGTTTCTCAAATCAATCTGTTGTCATGATCAACAGAAAATAAAAATACTAACCCCACTTGACAAGGTTCAGCACTATTGGATCAGGTCTTAAAACTGGAAATTAACTAGTTCCTCTGCAAAATGATATATGATGCACCTTGCTATCAAGATCCTTCAACAAAGATGCAGAAAAGGTGAAATGCATTCACTGAAATGATCAAAACTCTGTACTTACTTGCTTTTTCTTGTAGAATCCCTTCTTGTCACAATTTGGAATATGAAATCCCCTGGGACTCAAGACATTCAGGATCTTTAGGTGGTTTAAAGTGTCTTCCATTTCTCTACGACATGGACCCTGTTAACAAGCACATTTTAAAAAACACATGAAACTTCGCTCCCAAATTCCATCCTTCACTCAAGACTTAATAAATCTTTGAAGGTCAAAAAAGCCCAAATCCAAACAAATCCATTAAAGCAGAGAGATAGCTGAATATATCAAAATCAGATTATTCACTAAAAAAAATTAAAAACGAAAAAAATCTGACTTTCTGCTCTATTCAAGATAAATTGATTTCTAAGGATTGAAGGCCCTGCACTATGCTGCGGGACATATTGGCATTTCCAGTTGAATTCACAGTCACATATACCTTTGGGAAGGCTTAACCAGTATGTAAATCAGTCACATATAGCATAACTTAAGTTTGGAAAAGCTGGCCTTGCACCTAGTGGGAAAAGAAGAAAGTAGACACTGGAAATACTCGACTGGATAGGCCTTCCTCAGTGACATTTGATTTTTTGTGATTCTGCTGGATTTGAAAGCTTAAATGCAATTGATTCAAGTGAAAATAAGTGGTTTGGCATAATATATATATAAAATAGCTCAACTTTGGACAACAATTCCCAATTTCAACTGAAACAAATAAATGCAGTCATACAGAGGACCAGTTGCACACAACAGTCTCATTAGATAAGTACATCACTTTTTTCCTCACTTTCTTCATCTGCAAAAGGCTGACAACAAGGTAGTGAGGATTAGCTCTAGGACAATGACCCAAAAAGGGCTTCCAAGAAGCAGTTCTAAGAGCATTGGTCAAACAATGTGTCTCAAACACCAACTAATTATATCTCAAGGCAGCCCTTCAGGGTAGGGAGTAAAGCATTATGAGCCTCACTTTGCATTCAGAAAATCAAGAGCAGAGGACTTCACACTTTGCCAGAGGCCAAGAAGGCAGTCAGTGTCAGCAGTTGGATCAGGATTCAAGTGGCACAGCCTACAAACTCTGTGCTTAGATACACTGCTATCTGGGTATATCACTGACTTGCACCACCAACCCTTTTCTTCAGCAGAGACACAAAAAAATTTCTCTGCATGGTTTCATGGTTTAAAAACATTTAAGTTGCTGCACTGGCACAAAGACTCATTTTGTGCTGTTTTTAATTAGTGAAGTAATGACAGTTATACTTTCAAGTGGTAATATTAATAGTTTGCTCATGTAAAGGGCCTTTAATGTGAGTGCCTGAAAGCATACAACCTCCAAAGTACTACTGGAGATTAAAATGGAGTTTTTTGGTCAGTAAAGACCTTCCTTGTTGCCTTCACATTTTCTTCCTGTACCGATCTTACGACTTATAAACACAGGCTTTAAATGGCTTCTCTTACTGCTCAAATGCACTGAGTGCAAATGACAGACATTCAGAGATTCAGTCCCATATTAGGCCTGCAAAAAGATTTTTCAAAATTTTTATTTTGAAGCAATCTTCCAAAGTCAGCCAGCCTAGTATCAAAAGCTGAGATGCAGACACAGCTAGAACTAGAGCATTTGCTGACAAAGGCACCTGTCTCTGATGGACTTATTTCAGGTTCTTAAAGACACAGCAGCCTTGGTAAACTGGTATACCTTTGCTCATGAACCCAACTACCACTACTCGTTTTAGTTAAGAATCTATTCCCTCAGAACTGTACAACCTTCATTCTCTTAGTGATGGCAGATTTACTTCACATTTTTGGGAGGAGGACACACTGGAAGGCAGATACTGAAGTGATATGACTAGATGAGTGGATATCAGTGACAAACTAAAAATGAAGCTTCTCTTGGAAGCCACACTCTCTTCAGGAAGAGGTTTTCACCTCATACAAATTTCAAAACCCTCTTTTGAAAATGAGAAGCCATGTCTGCTTTCACCATGCCTGTTTTGATAAAAGGCCAAAGTATATCCAGATGCATTTTTCAAGCTATCTGGCCTAAGGCACAGGTTGGATGTCCAGAAAGAGAATTATTCTTGCCCTCAGATTAACCACACTCCGACTGCCCTGCAAATACACAGGGCACAGGCAATAAGAAGCAATAATAGATCATGTGACTCATGAGACTTTGCATTTAGGCAATAGCACTAAACAGCAACTGCAAGTGGAAGTGCTCAGCATGTCATACAGTGACTGTCTAGTCAAGATCCTAATCCTCAGCTCAGCCTAAACTTATCTCTCTTGATTTGCACCAGGCAGTGTATGAACACAGTGACACTACATTCAACATGAAACATCTTTTTTCCATTATTACAACTCAATTACACTGTTTGCAACCAAGTTTAATGATGACACTATTAAACCTGTCCCAAGTCCACTCACACAAATGTGTGACACAGGGAGGAACAAGAACTTTCAACTTCTAAGAAAATTTAGTGAAGGTCATGCTTGTATTTGATGTAAACATCACTATGTTAGTCCTAAGTGCTTCCTGAACACAATCTTCTTGGGCTGCTGACTGTGTATGCATTTGCAGAGTCAACAGATTTACCAGTTAAAATGCCAGAATGTCCTAAAAGGCAGCAACAATTTCCAAACTTCAGCTATTTACTGTAATTATTTATCTTGTCGTATGCACAACATATATATATACACACAGACACATATATACACATATGCACACATTCATATGCTGACAAATGCCTTCCTATTTACAGAAACACTTACATATTCAGTCTCTTGTTTGGATTCAGAAGAGAAATTCAATGTATCCGTACTCTGCGAATCATATTCGACTTTATAGCGTTGTGTATCTTTGGCTTGCACTTTCCTGATGATATCTATTTTGATGTGTGGTGGATGTGACTTGGAATCTGGCACTCTGTGAGAGTTTGGAATGGCCTGATTTTCTACGCTGCTGGTACTCCTGTCTTCTTCTGAATCACTGAAATTTCCTGTGTAAAGAACAAATGCAGAAGAAACGATGTCACTCGGCTGCCAGCTGTGTCTGTAAGGGCATAGAAACATAGAATATCCTGAGTTGGAAGGGACCCACAAGGCTCCTCAAGTCCAGCTCCTGGCCCTGCACAGGACAGTACTAAGAATCAAACCACATGCCTGACAGCACTGTTCAAACATTTCTTGAACTCTGTCAGTCTTGCTACTGAGACCACTTCCCTTTGGAGCCCGCCCACCCTCTGAGTGAAGAACCTTTTCTTAATATTTAACCTCTACCTCCCCCGATACAGCTTCATTCCCTCAGATCCTATTACTGGTCACAAGCGAGAAGAGATTATTGCCTCCCCTTCTGCTTCCCTTTGTAAGAAAGCTGTAGAGCATGATGAGGTCTCCCCTCAAGCAACAAGCCACTAGATTAGACTACGTGTTTAATTTTCCTTTTTGCAAAAATATATAGCAGTATCCAAAGCAATATACAAAAATATGAACTCTGTAGCATTCTGCACGTGTCAGCACCTTTGTTGCCAAGCGATGAGCTTTGTGACCGAAGCATTCCCAGCGCGGCCCCGGGAGCCAGGGCCGCGGTGGCCACTCGCCCCCATGCCCGCTGCAGAGCCGCCCGCCGGCGGCAGGGGGCAGGCCGGCACCGCAGGAGCCAAGCCCGCCGCAGCCCCACCGGCGCCGGGGCGAGGATGCCTCCCCTCCGCCACCGCTGACTTCATCAACCCCAGATAAACGCCACCGGCTTCGGGCACTTATGGGCTGCAGTGTGGCTCTGCCTGCCCCAGGGCCGGAGTTTTTTCCTTTTTTTTTTTTCTTTTTTTCCCCCTTATCAAGTCTGGCTGGCTGAGTTCCCTGGTTCTAATTAGCCATTTCTTTTTTTTTGTTCCTTAACTTTATTCAAATTCAACACACTGAATGGGACAGAAAAGGAACAGCACACCTTCATTTCTCTGCTATTAAAATAAAGAACATTTCTTGGTGTACAAAAAACATTTTAAAAGTAATGGACAAAAACCGCCATTCATTCTGTAGTGGTTCCAATGACAAGCACTTTTCCTCTTGAGCTTCAAAAATATTTTCTCTTTAAACTAACATCCACAAAAAGTCAGGAGAAGCACATTTTCCTAACATACTCCATAAGTTCAGTGTTCCTGTACCTTCTAAGGTACGCTGCATTTCTCTCTGTTAGCAGTGCAACTGTAACTACTTGCATTTCCTCCAGGGAATTTTTCCAGTTAAGGTATTCCTAACATCTAAGTAATAACTGTAATAACTGAGCCCCACTTCTTGCCATCTCAGCTCCTGGCTTCCTTTTTTTTCTTTTTTTTTTTTTTTTTTAAGGAAATCCTATTGGGACTGCACAATGATAACATCCCATACTCAAATCATGCTCGATGACTCACTAAAAGAAAATAAAAAAAAAAATAAAATCACAAAAGCTGAGAAATTCAGTACTAAAAGTCCATGTTCACATAGTTCATCGATGCTAAATATTTCAACACAGGGAGTACAGTGGCACTGCCAATACACAGGAATGGGGGAAGAGGAAGAGGGTTCTGAGTTAACATTCTGGTACTGGTGGTTTTAGTGCAGCCACTGCTGGCAGTGGACATAATTGACCAGGAAAATCCAAATCACAGTGCAAATGGATTAAGGAAGTCTTAAGTCCAAATTTCCTGGCTTTTGTGGGTTTAAGTCAGACTCTCAGCAGTATTTGAACATATTTTTGGTGGTTTAATGTCCTGTTCTGAAACAGTAGTATTTTTCCTCCATATTCTCAATGAAATTTGCAAGAAATTAGTCATTAAAATGTTATAAACCTGAATCTACATTTTCTGCAATCAGTCCAGTTCATTAGTTTTTCTCTTCTACCAAAAAATAAGTAGAAAATATTCTTAACATGCACTGAGTATCCATGACCATGTCTGGCCATTTCATTTTAGAGAGGCCACCATAGTTCAGTAAGCAGTTCTTACACCTCAGATTTAAATGGTCATATTGCCACATCTTAAACTGTAAAACATGTTTAATTAACTCCTTTTCACAAAACTTGGTATCATGCTAGATTTACATCCTATTAAGAGAAACAGAACTGCAAGTAATGAGAGTTACCCATTCTCCTTTTTTTTTTTTTTTTTTTTTTTTTTTTTTTTGAGATTAAAAGGGTTACAAATGCACACGCTACTATTTAATGCTTTTGTGCCCAAAAAAACCAACTGGAAAGTCAGTGGCCTGCTACAGTTTTTGTTATGATGCTACTGTAATACACTCTGGTCTATACCAACGTCTAGCAATTTCTGTGAACTAGGAAGGACAGAATAGCACGTGATGCAGGACCTATCTGCATGTAAAGGAGATGATGTGATCCTGCTCAGAAATGTGTATCCCAGGGAGTGCTGGCTTGAAAGCTAGCAGTGGAGCGGTCCTCATGAGGAACTGGGCACTATGCATCCTATAGGTTCTGGGTACTTCTCCCTTCTTGCACACCAGGTTTGCAAGTTTCACTCTTTGAATGTGAACTGTAAGGATCCTACTATGCACCTTTTAAGGAATCAAAAGTTCCTACGGATTTCAAAATGGGAGTTCTCCTTCAGACAAGAATGCAGAAATAAGAATTCAGCTGAAAATGGAAAGATTTGCAGCTAAGTACAACTTTTCTTTGCCTTTCTCCTTCTCTAACAGTCACTGTTGAAAGCACTACCCCCAGATTAAAGGGTACCAGCTCCAAGTACTGAGGAGACACTTCTTGTTTCCAGTGCTATTCCAAGGATGAACAGGATGAGCCAAGCGCACGTGATGAAGGAAGTTACTCGATGTTCCAAGGAGATTAAAAACTTCGGATAATACCGCCAAACCCTCATTCAAATTGTCACAGCTTGGAAGCAGCACATAAATAATTATAATAAGGCATCTCCTATTATTCTAACAGGCAGTTAACTGGAGCACTGGTGCCACTTTCTCAGCTAAGGAATGGCTAATCGAAGAGTCCCTACAACCTGGCAGAAAATCTTCGGGCTTTTTAAAAATGCAAACAGTGGAAAGCCTTTTGACACACTTTTCTATTAAATAAATGTTAACATACTCGCTGTTGGTTAGCAAACAGTTTAATTAAATGCTTGCATAAAGGGACTGTGCTCTCTCAATCTGAATCCCAAGTTTCCCTGTCTTAAGTTTTAAAATGTGCATGCTAACAGAACTTTTTCCAACCATCCCTTCCTTTTCTAATAAAACCCATTCTGTGAGTATCTCACTACAAGACGTGGAAGAGGTACAGGAAATCTTCTTTTGACCGAGGATTTCTTTGCAGTAGAGACAAAAAACAGCGTCCTCTTAAACACTGTTGTACCAATGCTTTGTTCTGAATAACCACTTTGGCAGACCAAAGGGATATTTAAATTTGTCTTTTCTTCTCTGTGCTCAGACTTCCCTGACTTACCCACGCTGCAGTGCAGAAGTTAGACCCCACTCTCTCGAGTTTTTTTGCTCACTCTCCCTCCAGGTACACCGGGGACAAACGGCGAGGATTACACCCGCTCTCTCCCTCCATCCAGGCTCTGTAGCCTGCCAGTCCCATGCACCCGCAGAAGCCACATGCAATCCCTCCCCCACTCCCCCCTCCCTTTTTCTTTTTTTTTTTTTTTTTTTTAATAAAGCAGCTCTGCCTCTTTTGCGAGGAGCTACTTCTCAGCATCGGTGTTGAAGAAAACCGGTGTACACGTAAAGAAGGTGAAAGAGGTTAATTGTCCTTTCCTTCAGTCAAAGCACACCCCCTTCAATACGATCCCAGGCTCGGCTACGTGGCTACCGGCAGAGCCCCCCGCCCACGGGCCGGCAGCGGGCGGACAGCGAGCGAGGGCCGTTTCCGGAGACAGAGCTCAGCCGTGAGCTCGCCCACGCCTCCCCGCTCGCGCTGCTCCCTTTGTAACTTCAAACAAAAGAAAGCGACACACACACACAAAAATAAAATAAAATAATAATAATAAAAAAAAACTCCAACAAAACCCAGCCCAACAAGAAAGCAGCGAGGATGGAGAGCGGCGCGCAGGAAAGCCACCCCTTCGCCTCCCAGCCCGGCC